CCATGCGCTCAGTAAATTCTTCGGCCCATGCTTTCAAATATTCTAAAAGTCAGTATTTAAGACATGTTTGTAAGAGGAGCAGAGTAAAACCTAAGGATCAAAGGCAAATGAAGGCAAGCTGTGATTTAATCAGTTGTATAATTATTTTCCTGGGATACTTCCTTTTTTTTTAAGCCTTTGACTTATTTTAGCATGGTACAGGTGTTGACAGAAGTTCAGTTTTTATTTTTCAACCCCAGATAACCAACCTGTAAAGAGGCCTTGAAGATAAAAATGCTAGCTTTAGAATGTTTCTAAGAATGGTACAAGTTGAGGGCTGGCCAGATAGCTCAGCAGACTAAAGCACCTGCTTAGGCAGACACAGGGGCCAGGGGTTCAATATCTGGCATGTCATGCCAGTCTCTCACCCAGGGCGTGCTGAGAGGGCAACTGAGACTGGGCGTGGTGGCACACGCCTGTAATCCCAGCACTTGGGAGGCTGAAAACAGGAGGATTACTATGAGTCCAATCTGTTTGGTGAGACCCTGTACTAAATATATTAAAAAAAAAAAAAGAATGGTACAAGTTAAGAGTGCAAGGTCACATTTCATCTTAAACGCATCTATGGATGAAGCATACATGAAAAACACTTCTGCTTGTTTTTCCTTTATAATGGAAATTGCTTTAGTTTTTATTTTTCATTGATGAATGTTTATAATACATAATATTTACAGTCACCTTAGAGAACTTTGTGCATATTTCGACATGTCATACCTTGTCTGTTTTCTATCCCCTTCCTCACCCCCTTCCCCTTGCCATCCTATCTCTCATCACCAAACCTCTGCCTCCTGGTTTCCTGACAGCCCTGCTTTATCTTACTCTGTAGTTCATCTATTTTCGGGATTTCTCGCCACTTTATAGCTAGCCCAGGTTGACTTATGTTTTCAAACTTTATTTGTTTAATACAATTTTTCCTGTGCTCTTTTCCTTAAGAAGTCTAAATCCATTTTCTAGCTTTATTTTGTCTTTGATATTGTATTTTCTAAAGTGTGCTATTCAGAATGGTAATCTCATTCGATGTTACTCAAGAATGGGTGCTATAATCAATATATTTGGAAATTGCTACATGAAATATGCACATAGGGGCCGATGGACATTAGCATAAAGTGAGAATATGGACCATACTGCCTCTTTATGTCAATTACTTACTACAGAAGGCACAGGGGTTAGGCCTCTGCGGGAGCAGAGAATTCACGAGCTGTGGTTCAGTTTTGGAGCTTTGTCAAATCAAGTTGCAAAGATGGTGGAAAAACATGATAGCCTGGACTCGGAAGGAGCTGGGCCTGCGGACAAGAGGTGTTATGACATTGCCAGGTAACAGAGTACAACTTTCTGAAAAAAAAAATCATCCTTCTGCTGTAAATCTGAGCCACTCCATTGTCATTCTGTTGCACAGGGATTAGAGGGAAGCGTACACACAGTCCTAGACACATACACAGAATGAGGTTGATTTCCTACACAGCGCTTATAAAACAGCAAGGATTAATGTATTAACGTGGAAATATCCATTGACTACCTCAGTGATCGTGCTAGTACAAATGAGAAGGAACCGACTATTACACTCTTAGAGACTGGTTCCTACTCCGCTAGCCTCTTTTTCTATTATCCTGATTAGAGAAAAGCACCCTTCTCTCATCTTGAAAGAGGTCCGACTGTCTCTGCCTATCTCCAGGCAGCATTAGTAATGTCCTGCATTAACTCATTTCATCTTGTTCCAACTACTGCACCCTGGTAGATTTTTGCATCTGCTTCTTTATTCCTGAACTTGCAAATACTCTTCACATAATGAATGTAAAAATACTATCCAATAAAAGAAGTTACAAAAAAAGCTAGAAAATTTGGGGGATAAGCAAATTCTCATGAGAAAGAACACATTGGCCCTGAGAAGAGGAGAGGAGTGCAAACAACAAACTCCATCCACAAAAAGAAGAGTCTTGGGCTGCCAAGGTAGCTCAGGGGTATAGGGGTCTGCCTGGCAAGTGTAAGGTCCTGAGTTCATTTATCCATGGTATAAAAAAAAAAGAAAAAGAAAAAAAATCCAAAACACCAGACTGAGTTAGGGAAAGAAGTCTTAAAGATTTTTTAGAAAGTAGCAGGAAATTTTCATATATGTGCTGTAAATTCAAGGAGAAAAGATGGATATGGTAAAGAATCTTCAGAGATTTGGGGTGACTCATGGATAAGATCTGGGATGCAATGCTTGCATGACTGGTCATGCAGAAGCTGGGCTCCAGAGGGCCTGGTCCCTCCCTCCTTCATGAACAAAGTGACTTCTGGTCTGTGAAGTGCTTTCTGCTTCCCCTTCCTAAACTCCTGCCCACTGTCAAGGTTGGCAGATCTTCCTAGAAGTTTTGCATGATACCCACTCCTCAAAGATTAGGAAGATGTATAAGTCCTTTAAAGCAGGGTCCCAGGCCATGGAAGGGTACAGATTTATCACCTGTTTAGGAACAAGGCCAACAGCAGGACAGGAGCTGTGAACAGCTAAGAAATTACTGGCCATTACAGGTCCCCGTCCTGTGAGATCCATGAATGCAGGGGATTGTCATAGGTCCAAACACCCTGCCATGAACTATATGAGAAATGAGAGTAATGCATTGTCCATTACTTATCAAAATCTAATATAAAAGAAAGGATTGCAGATGTGTGGTGTATGTGCAACAGTCCACCACAGTACATGGATTTGTTAGGTACTGCAAACATGTCCTACTAAAAATTAAAAAAAACAGAAGTAAGTGAAAATAAAGTGCACAACAACTTCCTGTTCTTCAGTCACCCTGACCTCTCTGACAATGGAAAATCATCTTCCATAAGACAGGACCCTAGTGCCAAGAACACTGGGGGCCTCTGCTTCAGGCACTGGCACTTGGTATTTCTTATCTGTGTATAAACTTCAGTATCAACTGTCTTGATCCTTGGCCAGAAGAAAATTTTAATTCCAAGAATAATTTTCTTTCACCATCTTGCTCCATCACCTGGCCTCACACAGGCTCTTAATGGATGGTTGGGAGCTCGTTAACACAGACTTCTTCGCATACATTGAAGCCTGTGGAGTTGGTAATGATGATCAGATCAGCAGTGGACTGAATGACAATTTTCTGTTAAAAGGAACATTACTTTCTAGGTATTGCTGATGCATACATCTGTCATTGCATCCGGGACATCCTCCTCTTCACCCATATTTTCTGCCTCCCAAACCAAGCCATTAGGTACCAGACAGGAAGGCCCCGCTGCACCCTGGAAATGAGCACAGTGTGTGGGGCATGTCAGATGCTTCTGCAAGTGGGAACAGTGGCATGGATTTCATCAGGGATCTGCTCTATGAGAAAAGGGGGCAGAGAGGAAGATTTATTTTGCCTAAATCTTCTTTTGTTTTCAGCGCAGTGGTATCTAGGTTCACAGACACATGTGCTTGGCAAAGTTTTGCATTTTTGCAAACTCTACTTTACATGCTGAACTCTGCTTGGCTGGCCCACCTTTTCCACATGAGCACAAATATGACCGTTTGTGCCAGAACTGTGGAGTGAATGAAGTGTGTGAACTTAGCTACCTCTGTACAAGGGTTAATTCAGGATCTATTGGGCTACAGCCCCAACTATCCCCGCTCTTTTTAATGTTATTTTGAGACAAGGCCTTAGTCCCCCATTCTGGTGTCCAAACTGTAGTCCTCTTGTGTCACCCTCTAGAGAAGATAGACTTGCAGACTTCCTATGCCGTGTCCAGCTTTCTGTCTTTACAGGAATCAGACAGACAGAGATAGAGACAGGGACAGAGACAGAGAATAGACAAATTATCACATCTGCATCTTGTCCTCTGAATAACTACTACGAAGACAACAATATGCAATGTATTAATTTTTGTAACCATCCTACTAACCTGTTTTGAACCTGTCTCATTGTTATTTATTTCTCAATAAAATTAATTTTAAAAAAATTAAAAAGAAACCTATGGTTTAGGACCAAATTATCTGTTTCAATCTGTTTTTCTTTGCTTTTTTTTTTTTTTTTTCTTAATGTATTTGTTTGTTGTGTGGTCTCACCACGCAGCTCAGACTCATGGCGATCCTCCTGCTTTCAGCCTCCCCAGCGCTGGGATTACAGGCATGTGCCACCATGCCCAGCCTCTGGCCTGCTAAGCCAGCCCTGGGGGCGGGGCTTGCATGGCACGTGGTGCTGGGGATGGAACTGCAGTCCCTGCTCTTACCAAAGTAGGCGTCTTATTCCACTGAGTTATCTTGTCCACCCTGTTTCAAATTTTGTCTGGCTCATTCATCAGCCATTTTCTTTGAACTGGTCACTTAAGTTTTCTCACACACTCTTCACCCAGGAGATATTCCCTCCTATTTATGGCTTCAGGATGACCTGGTGACAGTAAAGTCTGACATATAAAGTACACCTTCTTCCTAACTCTGGGTTGCTTGGGTTGCTTGGAAAGGCCATCAGGAATTGTGAAATTTCACTTATTATGATGACAATTTCTTACTGTTAAATAACATGAAAAGGTAGAATGACCTTTAAGGGAACTAACCCATCAACTATCCTATGACTCATGAGTGAAAACACAAATTTGTAGGTAAATTAGAGCCTGCTTTGCTGCTGAGCCAGCGATAAAGGGAAAGTTTAGAAATGTTGGATCTAACTGAAAGCTCTTTCGTTTGCTTGGTCCATTCAAGGGACATCTTCATCTGTTAATCTTTTTAAATTAATCACAGACTTTATGCAAAGTGCGTACATTAAGGAGAAGTGGAGAGATGGAGTTTTAATTTCTACCAATTCAATTTAAATGCTAATGTTAACCGCTCACATGATGCTGCTGTGTACATAATTAAGCATCATTATATGCTGCATGAATCATTTAGAAGCCTCCCGAGAGCCATTCTACTATGTAGAATGTGCAGTATGGTGACAAACAGCCAAATGACGTATGCTTCTGCCCTCATTAAAGCTTCTTTTGAATTATAGGTCAACCGATTACGGGACAACTTATGAGAAGCTGAATGATAAAGTGGGCTTGAAGACCATTTTGAGCTATCTCTACGTGTGTCCTATCAATAAGCAAAAGGTAAGAAACATGCACCCGGCAAGCCTGCGGCTCGTGGCATGACTGCTTCCCTCTGGGTCGGCTTGCCTCTCACTGCCTAAAACTAAATCCTCAACTGGGATTAGAGGTGTAAAGATGAACTGAGGGTGTGAGGCGGGGAAGTGCCTGACAGGCCATAACGTTCAGGCCAGCAGCAGCGAGGGCAGGAGGGCTGGGGTAGCCGCCTCGTTAGCATTTCAGAAAGGCAGCTACAGGAAGTGAGTTCTCTTGTGTGAATGCCGCTGACTGTCTTGTAAAAGCTCTGCCCAGTCAGTCACAAGGAGCGGAGCTCTTGACAAGACAGAAGAAAGATGGGCTTTCATCCGATGCTCGGGACGGGGAGTAAATAAACGAACCAGCATTTAATGCAGGCGTTGTCCTCCAGCAGTGGGGGGTGGGGGTTATTTCTAAAGTTTGTTCAGGCTTCACCAACTGCGGGGATGAAAGCTCCACATTGGGCAGAAGAGTGGTGAGATTCACCTCTTAGGCAGCCCTAGTCCAGCTGTGTTGCTCGGGATTAGGGCTCAGCTAATTGCAAACCTTGAGGCCGTTCCTCAGATGTTTCCGAGATGTACCGGGGGAGGAAGCGTCAGTGTAAAGTTCAGTGTTCCCTCTGGCTGTACTACTTGCAAATGCTTCAGGAGGCACGGCCTACCCTCTGAGCACGGGGTCTGAATTTAGATGGCTCCCATAAAAAGCCAACTAAGCCAATTACTAAATGATTAGCACGGTGATGTTCTTAATCTCTCCAAGCACAGTGCTGTCAAACTTAAAATGGGGGTAATTACAGTACCTACCTCCTGAGGGAAGCTCGAAGGGTTCTATGGAATTAGACATTTCAATTGCTGAGCACAGGGCGGTAAAGGCTTAATCAGGGTTTTCTCTTTATTTTATTCTCCTTTCCTATCATCCTGTCCCTCCTGCTTCATATAATTATTGGAAGTAATAGTAGTTATTATCCTCTATAAATAGAAGTGTCCAGCTGAACTTTCTGCATGGATGGAAATGTTTTTCCAAACTGTCAAACACTCTAGACAATAATAATTTATGGCTGTTGAGTGTTTCAAATATGATTCATGTGGTTGAGTAGCTGAATATTATTTTTATTTACTTTTAATTACCTTAGATTTATACTGATGATGGCCGCAGTTACAGAAAACACAGCTCAAGAGTGTCAAACTTGTAAATTTTTGGCCATGCCTGGAACATTCCCATCATCCTTTTATGGGCTGGAGAGTGATCCATTATTAGTAATCATATGTAAAATATTTTGATCTATATATAATCTCAGATTGAAGAACTGAACTTAGATCATTTATACTGATAATCAGATTTACTTTACTCTTGCCTTTACATTTACTCTTGTAATGTGCATTTTTTTTCCCTATCATTCACATTTTTGGTAAATTCAATTTAATCATCAAAACATGCTAGATAATGTTTTGCACCGTGGAATAAAAAGAAAAATAAACCAGAGTCGCAGCCTCTGATATCCTGTGTCTGAGTAGTAAATTCAGTCTGACTTTGTAATGGAAATATCTGTGAACTAGGATTTAGGAATCTCCCCACCTCGCTTGAATTCTTTCCCACTTGGTGTGAGTCATTTCTATTTGTCAAGTGGTAATGGCACAGTGAAGGAATTTAGAGCTCCAGGAGAGTCCCAGAGACTGTTCTAGCCTATGGACAGTGACTGTTCTATGGATGCGATTGAAGAATAATATGATTTCAATGAAAGATAAGATGCCAACTATTGGATATGATTACTGGTTTTTCTGTAGCTGCAGAGCATAAGCTGATGACCCAAGACCAAGATAGTTCACAGGAGCAGAGTAAGAATCCAGGTGCAGATGTGGCTCCAGAAGGGAATAGAGCAGAGGGCCCTGCCCTGAAGTCCACTCTTTGTTTCATCAGCATGCATGTCTCCGACAGGCAGTCTGTCCTTACCTGCATAGGCAGCCTGTGCTTATCTGGATGGGCAGATCTGAACTAAGAGTGGAGCACCACTGGCTGCAGAAGAAAAGTCCCTTCCATAACAGGGAGAACAGCTTTTTCTGGGTCTGTCACCTTGCAGAAGCAGAGATGACCCTGAGCTGTTTAAACCCCAGTGTTTACAAGAGAACCTAAACCAGCAGATCTTTTCCTCAACAGATAAACGAGACTATCAGGGTCACTTTCTGAGATGCTGATAGATTTAGAGATAGATTGGAGGACAAAGAAGGTCTTTACAATGGTGCAAAAATCAATAGAGTTGGCAAAGCAGTACATTTGGGTACCGTTTTTCCAGTTATGAGTTGAATTTATCACTATGAAATATACCCCTGCCCCCAAGGCATATATTTGAAGCAAGAGATTGTACCTGTGTAGCATTTTGAAGTGTGAATATGTTTTACCCAATCAATAGGAGTTTGTGTATGGAAAAAAGAAGAAAGAATTATCAAGCTGTGCCCATTGGGCAGGTTAAGGGCCCTCGGTCCACACCTCTCCCCATGAATCCACTGCTGTCTAGGGGAAACTGCAGCCTTTACCATAATAAAGCTGTCTAATGTCTGGGTGCTGCCTAGCAAGGTAGTGTCTTGGGTCCCAGGAAGTCACCCACCTTTTCTCTCAGTGGCACCACCTAGAAGGGAGCAGCAGGGTGCTGTGATAGTCTGCGATCCTGGGAACCTGCTTGTCTTGGCTTTATTCGTGGGGTATTTCGCTGCCTGTGAGGACAAGGGCAGGTCTCTGGTTACTGTGTCTTGGTGCAGTGGCATCATGCCCTGGCTTTGCAAGCTGCTTATGAGAGCATTACTGAGTCTAAGTCCAAAATGAAGCCGACCCTTCTCACAGTTTAAATGGGTGACCGTCCAGTGGGCATTTCTGTGTGTGTGCTGCTTTCCATGGATGGGCTTGCTGCAGTGTAAACCATCCTATCCTCTTAGTTCACGTTAAGAAATCTTTGTCTCTCTCTCTCTCTCTCTCTCTCTCTCTCTCTCTCTCTCGTTACTGCAAGTAATTATAATACAAAAGTGTGTCTTGTTTTAAACAGTTCTTTGGTAGAGCTTCAGTTTCTGTCTTGATTAAAACCAATTGAGATAATCACACAGCAACATGCCTCTTTCTTTCTTTCTTTCTTTCTTTCTTTCTTTCTTTCTTTCTTTCTTTCTTTCTTTCTCTATCTCTCTCTCTTTCTCTCTTTCCTTCCTTCCTTCCTTCCTTCCTTCCTTCCTTCCTTCCTTCCTTCCTTCCTTCCTTCTTTCGACCAGGAATTGACAGGGATTGAACTCAAGACCTTGCACTTGTCAGGCAGGGGCTTATTCTGCTGAGCTTTCTCCTCCGCCCTCCTTCAGGAAATCTTGATTAAGAAACCTAGAAACCCTGCTCCTAGGTGTTGTACTGCTCGTTCATGCTTTCTCAAAGAGTGTCTGTGCCTTTGGCCTCTGACGTAGGAAGGAGGCTTCCTAAGAAAGCCCGAGCACCAGAAAAGAGGCAGGCTGCCCCTGTCACCATGTCTCAGGGAATGTCTCACCTGCAGTTTCTGTCAGGAGAGCTTTTGTGGCCAAGACGAGTGGTCTCCTGTATGGAAAGATGGTGGGGCCCAACCCTGACAGGAAAGGCTGAGCTGCTGGGATAAGAAGTTGATGGGAAACTAATATAAATGTAGCAAAGAAAAAAATCAATAAGAAAACCCTAGTCTCGCTCTAAAATTCTCTTTGAGTTTAGCTGTATTCAGACTAAAATGAAAATGCCTTTGGACTCTGCGTGTCTGGCAGAAGTACGTTTCTCCTTACCCCCAACTGGCCCGGGCTGCCTCCCCTTCATGGAGCGTCTGTAACATCTTCCTGGATTAAAGCACACAAAACCCAGTTGGAGTTCAGTGGGAAAAAGAAGAAAAATTGTGTGTGCATGTGTGTGTGTGTTTGTGTGTACATATGTATGTTTTTACTCAGAGCAGCCAATGCATGCCATTGTTACAACCTCGCCGTCTCTGCCTTCTATGTTCCCAGCAAAGAGCAAAACCTGCAACGTATCTGCGCTTCGGTTTCCTGCGCCCCCTTTCATCCCTGTTCCCCTGTTTCTGTGTTATTGCTTCTTAATTAATAGCGCTCCTGCTGAGAGTGTCTTTAAAGACTTTCATCCTATAAATAGGACGCTCGCTGGGCAGCACACATTGATCATTCTGCAGGTCCCCCGGTACTGCCAGCATTAAACGCTGTTTGCATTTTCTCCAGATGTTTAGGTTTTAATTACCATACTGCATGTGACACTTTCTAAATAAGTGTTTGATTATTGAATCACTGTCTCTATTTATCTTGGCCATGCTTAATTTTTCTAGTCATTTGTCTGGTTGTTCTGTACACCACATATGTGATATTGGGGGACAGGCACGACACGCGTTTGATAGAGTCTGCCAACATCTCTTAGAAGAATCATGGAATTATTAGTTTATACCATGAAATGAGTTGGGGGATCCAGGTTTACTCCCATGTTTAGCGTACTGTATGAAAACTGAGCCCTTGGGAGCCATGTGGTTTGTCTGACTGAATGCTGCTGAGGAATAAATTACTAAGGTTATGAGGTGAAACTTTACCGACACTGTGAATGGTATGATATTTGTGTTCAAGCAGTTCCTTTTTAATATTTTATTTATTTACTTATTTATTTCATACAGGGTCTCACACCGCAGCTTGGAGTTATAGTGACCCTCCTGTCTCAGCCTCCCCAGTTCTGGGATTACAGGTGTATGCCACCACGCCATTCCGGTGGCCAGCTCAGCATTCCAGGGGCTTGGGGGCCAGCATGGCACATGGTACCAGGGATCGTACTCAGGGCCTTGCATTTGCCAAACAAGCACTTAGACAGCAGAACTGTCTCCCCGGTCCTGCGGAGATACCCCCCACCCCCACCCTCCACCACTTCTAATCTCCCGTTGGAGTTGGAGTGGAAGGCCCTAAAGAGAGAAAGTACCGGGAGCAGCCGCGCAGTCCACCTGCTGGGCACAG